TGTACCATTTTACATTTCCAGCAGCAATGTACAAGGGTTATAATTTCTCCACATCTTCATCAACACTGGTTTTTTTGAAATTAGCCATCCTAATGGGTATGAGGTGGTGGTAAGATAGGCTATTTCTTTCATTCTCACAGGCATAAGCTGTTCAGGTCTGTTATGGTGGCTCCCAGGTTGTATGCCCAGAGATCAGGGGCCCTGACTCTTTCTATGTTGTTGCTGCTCTATCTTTCTAAGGTGTTGCCCTTGGCTTTGTGGTCCAAGATGGCTTGCCAGGCAGTGGAAACAGTAAAGGAGGGCACACCTCCACCATATGTGAGCCCAATCCTGAAGTTATAGACATTACTTTCACTCATGTCTCATTGGCCAGAGCCTGGTCACATGGCCACATTGAACTGCAAGGGAGGCTCGGAAGTGTAGTCTTTTATCTGAGTGGCCATGACTGTTAAGGTGGCTGATGAGTCTGAAGCTGAGCTCCCTGTGATTCAGATTTCTCTTCTGCAAAAGGGAGATAGTATGATTTATGCTGTCATTCTTCAAGACCAGGAAGTGGATTGGAAAAGTCTCTTTCAGGACTGCTGGGCCAGGCCTGGGGCTCTTCTTGTCCCTGGTTCATAGGAGCTGCTTCTCCAGCTTGTGGTGAGGAAGTCCACCAACCAGTTGGCTTCATGGCGTCAGTGCCCAGGTGGGCCTCACTCAGCACCCCTGGCCGGCTGCTCCAGCACTCAGAGAAGGCCTGCTCCAATGGAGGCCATGGCTGGCTGATCCTTTCCCTGCTACAGTGAATGACGTTGTGGCACTGTCTCCCGAGGAACTCCCTTCTCTTCACTCTGACTGCCCTGCCTTGGGCTGTCCCCAGGTCAGTGTCTTCTCTCCTCTGGGAGGGTGGCTTCATACTGGAACTGGGAGACACCAGAGATCCTGACCTAGTTGGAAAGAACCTCTCCCCTCAACTGCCGTGACAGAAGACTTTAATAAGGCTGGCTGGGCTTTCAGAGGAAAGCCTTGTTTAGTGATGGAATCACCCATCATTCATTTATTCATTCAAGTCCGTGTGGACACTGGGGTTATGGGCATGCCTTCAGGAAACACAGTCCAGTGGGAGGCAAACAGGCGAAAAGATGGGTACAACATGGGTGAAGTGCTGTGCCCACGCACAGGTTTTGTGCCACACAGGCAGGGCTGGGTCCCATAACAACTTGGTCTTGGAAAGCCCAAGGCCACCATAATGAGCCCACCGGCATGTTCCCTAGGCCTCATGGTCTCGTTCTATGTGTCCCTGGTCTTGGGGCTTAGAGAAGTCAGGGAGGGCTTCCCTAAGGTGGTAGTGCCGGCACTGAGACTTGGGGAGGGAGGAACTGGCCCTGTGGAGAAGGGTGAGAAGATTGTTCCCAGCTGAGGGAGAAGCCTGGGGCATTTACCCCTGTGCAGGCTGCGGGCAGGGGTGTTGGGGCCAACCACGCACTGGAGCCTGTGCCCAGCAACTCAAGCTCGGGAAGCTCACCAGCTTACCATGGGCAGTTCAGCCTTCAGGGGATCTGTGTATGATGACCAAACCCACAAGGTAGAATCAGAGACCAAAGGGCTGCCTGCTTTTACGATAAAGACCAAATTCTTCCAGTGCTCTTCGGGGCCCTGCATGTCCCAGCTCCTGCCACTTGTAGCTTCATCCTGTGCCATGGTTCCGTCCACTCTTCACTCCCTAGTCTTTCTGCTTTCTGGCAATTCCGTGAATACTGTGTGGTAGACTGCTCCAGTACAGCTCTCAATTTGTTCACGCCTTCCTGCAACCACGATGTTGGGTAGTGTCCTCCCACGCTGACTCTGGGCTTAGCCATTGCTTTGCTTTGGTCAGTGGGACAGTGGCAAGTACAGAGATATGAAAAGTGCTTGAGCTTTGGAGCTTGTCCTTTCTTGCTGCCTCTTGGAAGCCTTCACCTGCCGTGTGAAGGAAGCCCAAGGTAGCTTGCTGGAGAAGAAAAGACCATTAGGAAAAGGACCAAGGAGCCCCAGCCAGTGGTTAGTCAGTTCCTCATTGAGGTGGCAACTGATGAGGATGCGTGAGTGAGTCCCAGCCAAGATCAGCCACAGTCTAGTGCAGATGACTCGAGTTGCCTGGCTGAGCTCAGCCAAATTTCTGACCCACAACATTGTGGATTAAAAAAATGGATGCTGTTTCAAACCACTAAATTTTATAGTGACTTGTTACACAGCAAAAGCTAACTGATACATATGCCATTCTCTATTCCATTGCAGGGTCTTTGCACAGACTGCTCCTTACACCTGGTTTTACTATTCCTCTCTACCTAGTTAATTTCTACTCATTCTTTGGATCTCAATTATCAACACTTCCTTGGTTTTACAAGATCCATTCAGTTATCCTGATTATAGACCCTTATACAGCTGATTATATATCTTATATATCCTGATTATAGGCCCTTATAGCACTGTGTATATCTCTTTTATAGTGTTTACCACAGTTGTAATCACACTTCTTAATCACAGGACCTGGCACCTAATAGGTATCCAATAAACACTGGTTGAATGAATAAAAGAATGGATAAAACAGGTGTCCCCATCTGATGAAGGAGCTTGCTTGCCCACGGCCTTGCCTTGGGAGTGTGCGCAGCCTCTAGGGAATCTGAATGAGCCCTGAGGGAGCTAATGCCCTCGCAGTCTGTTTCTGACACATTATAGGAGGTTGAGCTGAGTTTTGTTCCAAGAATCCACATCCTCCCCCCATAGTCAACAATTCTAACTCTACGGACCAACACTGGTGCTCCTATTTCTTTGTCACAATGTGGTCACCTGCCTTGCCACTTGTTACAATTTCCAAGGCTAACGCTCTGACGGAGAATGACAGCAAACAAACACGTGTACAGAATTTTACAGTTTACAAAGCATGCTTCCCCCTCCTGTTAGTCACACCTCTACGGCAGCTGTTTCCTGCTGACACAGAGGCACTTCTTTCTCACCAAGGAAATGGTGGTCAGAATGCCACGTAGGCAGGGTGGCTCCTGCCTCCCTCTTCTGTATGTCGTGCCTTGATGGCCGAGATCCTAAGGACTAACTT